ATAGATAGATAGATAGATAGATAGATAGATAGATAGATAGATAGATAGATAGATAGGTAATAGATAGATAAAGAGCCATGTTATGCCTGGAAGATAGTGCTCCAAGATACTGTTTCCTTTCCAAGGAAAGCAGGTTCAAGGCTGGCTTTCTTATCCTCTAGGCAGGGAAGTATCGTGTCACCGTATTTTTGTGCATTCAAACTTCTTACCTGTGCTGTATCATAGTGCCTTGGCCTCCTCTCCCAGCTGATTTATGAGAAAGGCAATTAAAAGGGACAGAACTAGAGTGGGCTGTGGCAGACACTAGGATGGGTTTTGCCATCATTAGGGTTTGAATCTTTTATGTTTTTTTGTTTTTTTTTTTTTTTTGGTGTTTTTAAGAAGGGTTCTTGGATTTTTGGTCCTGGCTATCCTGGAACTATGTAGACCATGCTGTTCTCAAACTCAATAGAGATCTGCCTACCTCCTGAATGCTGTGATTAAAGGCATATGCCACCAAGCTCAGCCCTGGGTTTGAATCTTGATTCTCTTACCTCTTACTGTGAGATTCAGGATTGGTTCCCAACTATTTATCAAAAAATGGTTCCTCTAGGCTAGGTGGCAATGGGGCACACCTTAATCCCAGTACTTGTGAGGCAGAGATAGGCAGAGCTCTATGAGTTTGTGGCCAGCCTGGACTACAGAGTGAGTTCCAAGACAGCCAGGGCTATAAGGAGAAACAACTGTTTCAAAAAAAAAAAAAAAAAAAAAAAAAAAAAAAGGTCTTAAGACCAGAAATAGGGCTGTAGAGAAGACTCAGAGGTTAGGAGCACTGTTTGCTCTTCCAGAGGTCCCGAGTTTAAGAGTTCAATTCCCAGCAACCACATGGTGGCTCACAACTATCTATAATGAGATCTGGTGCCCTCTTCTGGCGTTCAGGTGTACATGGGGGCATTGTATACATAATAAAAGAAATTTTAAAAACAAAACAACAAAACACCAGAAATGTCTGTGGTAAAAGTGACCAGAGATCACAGTAACCTCACATGGCAGCCAACCGGGGTTCTATTTTCCATTCCTTCCTTCTACATCCCCAACTCTCCCTGGGAGGCTTGATTTTTAGACAGGTTTTCTCTGTGGAATAGCCTTGGCTGTCCTGGAACTCTTTGTAGACCAGGCCTTGAACCACAGAGACCCACCTGCTCTGTCACCATGCCCTTGCTTGGTTTTAAAGGTTGAAATAGTTACTTGAAGGCTGAGCATGTAGTTCTGGCAGAATACAAGTGCCAAAATGTAGGTCTCATCCCCAAAACTGGAAAAAGTTGTTTTGTTGAACCTGGAACTTAACATATGTGCCCGCCTCTGTGACTCCCACCCACGCTGGGATCAAAGGCATGTGCCACCATGCCCAAGATGATAACTCAAGTGTTTTTTTGTTGTTGTTTTGAGGCATGGTCTGACCCTGTAGCCCAGGTTGGTTTTCTGCTGTTATTGATTGTAGTGATTATAAGCCTGAACCATCATACTTGACTTTTATGTGTATTTTATGACACCTTAATGGCTTGCACAGTTGTCAAGGCAGATTCTAGATGCCTATTACCATCAGGTTATGGTGACCCAAGGCAGGCCTGATTTTCCTGTTTTGGGCAGGGATAGCCCAGCCAGTCACTGGTTCGAGCAGTGTTAAGATAGTGGTTACAAACACTGGCTCTGAACTTCAAGGAAGCAGTTCCATTGCACAACTGTGGCCTTGGTTCAGGTACCTTGACACACTAAGTCTGTGATGATTTAAATTCTTGCTAGCTCTGCTCAGCTGTAGGCTGGAACCTTGAGTCAGTGATCCAGGGAAACCGAGCCAGAGAGCTGTTTACTTGGGTAGGGCTTCTGGCAGGGCCTCTGCAGTTACTTAGGTGCTAGCCTAACAAAACCATAGCAACAGCAGGTCTCTCAGGTACAGGATGTTTTAAAAATGAAACACATTGCCGTACATGGAACAGTGAGCACTGTTTTTGGAGACTCCAGCCAAAGGTGGCTCAGCAAGCATGTTAGCACTTCTGACCCAGGGCTGGACAGCTGTGTTGGTTGGCTGTGTTCTCACATGTTATGGTCTGATGTAATTTAAAAGGGAACCCAGGCTTTTACTAGTAAAGTGGGCTGACTCCATTCTCTTCAGCCCTACTCCTAGGCTGTCTTAGAATTTCCTGGTGGTCCCATTCTTGTCCTTGGGGCTGACTTGACTCTGGGGTGCAGGGCAACAAATCTATACAGCAGTTACCTTAGTCTGCTTTTACATGGAGATCTAGCTATACACTGGCTCTGCAATGTGCAGGTAGTGACTGGTTTGATTATCAGAGACTTGAAGACTGTAGCCATAGCTGGGGCACATGTGTATGTCAGGCCTAATCATTGCTGGACTCTGTTCTTTGCCACTCCTCTGAGCCTCCACTAGAATCTGTCAGTAGAACTTGCAAGGCCATTTACCTCCCCCACAACCCTTCTCACTCTATTAGCCACTACTCCTTGTTGCAGCTTGTGTGGCTTGTCTTGTCTTGGTACTCTATGTCCTGCAGGTAGAGTGGTGAGTACATGCGATGTAAGGGGAGAGAAAGCTGGCAGCACAGCCCACCAGTAAGGGAGATTTTACAAGGGTTCGTGTACATTGCATCACTGTTCAGGCAGATGGTCCTGCCTTGGGAAACAATACAAGGAAAGCTCCAGGGAGCCAAGGCTGTTAGGTACTTGGTCAAGTCCCAAGACTCAAGCTACCCTGAGAGGCTTGGACTTTCTGAAATTCAAGCTCCACCCATGCCTCCTTATGAAGCCTGATGGTGGCCTGCTGCTGCTGCAGAGGTGGGGATGGTGGACTAGTCCAGACAATAGCTGGAAGAGGAAGCTGTAAAGTACAGAAAACTTTTATTGGAAATTTCTTGATTATATTTCCAAGTGTAGCTCTCATTTCCCAACAAAACACTGGAGGAGGGACCTCACAGTCATCTGGTCCCAGCCTGAGCCTGGCTGCAGAAGTTGGTCTAGAGCCCCATCTCTTCTTCCATTGTGCAGGGCTGACGGCACAGGCTATTTTGAAGGATGCTCTGCTCATCGTCCCTGGCCTCTTCCCTAATAGGGTCAGGGACACAAGGCTGCTGCCTGCAGAGGCCACTGGCTAAGCCCTGCCAAAAAAATCTGTGCCCTCACTCTGACAGTGTTGATTCTGCGAGGCAAATCTGGTTCATGAATGTGCCGTGAATATGCCCCTGATCCAAAGGCTGCAGTGCCATTTGGCCACCACTGCTGGGCACGTTTCTCTGTGGCAGCAAAAGCATGCACAGGGGAAAGACTCCAGTGTTACATGCAAGTTACTAACAAGCAGTTGAGAGCCACCTGCTCCAATGAGTAACAGCTGCTGCCAGTGAGGATTCAGGGACCCGAGGAACAGGGCAGGCTGCCAGAGGCACTTGACTACTCAAGCAACAATACCTGAAGGTTAAAGTCAACCATAAGCTCAGCTTTGGCTTCTTAAAAGGGAACCAATCCAGCTTGCAACCCAGGGCCACGTATAGACTCTGGAATTAGGGGGTGGGAGAAACAGCACCCCAGTCCTGCTCCAGGCTCAGGGACTGGAGCAGCAGGACACACGGGGTTAACACAACTGAGGAGTCATCATACTGAACACACCGGACACTTCCCAGGCCACTAGAACAACTAGTCACTCTGCAGACACTGTCAAGAAAGCATGCTCAGCAGGAGCACGGAGTGCACCGGGAAGCCTGACGTCAGTGCAGTTCCACACGCGCAGCTAGAGGGGGCTACTTAGCCCTTGCCAGCCCCATTCCTACTATCTCCTTAGATGCAAGGGGGAGATCCTCAGAGCAGCAGCACAGGTTTGCAGGAATCTTCACAGGAGGCTTCCATCCCAGAGAGACCCTCTTCCTTCCCCAGTGGAACTGCTAACCCCAAACATATTTCTTCTATAAAATATCTGATTTCTCTGAAAGTAATAAATATTTACCAAGTCCTATATCCAAGCAGCAGCAACTGAGGGAAAGATGAGGAGGAAAGAACCTGTCTGTGACTCAATAATAAACCCTAAAAACAGGCTGGCATAGCCTTTGGGAGACGGTGGATGGCTTCGGAATACCTGTCATTTTAGGTGGGTGGGCTTGTCATACTGTCAAAA